CATCACTATTCCGTGGGAAGGTTATGGCAGTCTCTTGGAGCAAACTGGAAACTGAACCATAGGTTTCTGTGAGCGGGTCCCTTAAGCAGCGATTCTTCTGCTGTGCTTCATTTATCGGTAATAGCTGTTGTGCCACCCACAGTGGAGGGGCTGAGTCTCTTAACCTCCTAAGGAGCTGCGTGAGAGTGGGAGGAGGAAAGCAGCGAGAGGAGAGCAGAGCTCGCGCTGCACTACACTTGACCAGTCTTTCACATAACTTGTGCTGGACAACAAGGAAGTTTTGAGAGAGATGAGCTTATGCTGGCCTGTTGTTCCATGACTGAAGGTATCTGAAATCCCCAAGAATACTTCCACCAAAACCGAGGCCAATGTTCTGTCTGTAAAAAAAAAGAGGAAAAGCAAAGGAATGAAAACCGTGTTCTGATTCTTAAATATTTACATGTGTCCTTAAGTTTGCTGTGACTTCTGTGGGACTGTGCTACACTGGTTGAAGGTAAACATTGAAAATCTTTGCAGGTTTGGTCACTTATTTCAGCCAGGCAATTACTTTCTGGCCCAAATCAAGTTATTTTCTTTTCAGTTTGTATACGAGTAAAGCCCACCACTATTTAAAAAAACATTTATTAAAAAAATTATTTGACAGTAACATCCTCAAATGCTGCAGCTGACAGTAATTGTACTGTAGCATGGTCATGTTTTCATAAGGGTTGCCTTGGAAAAAATTGCATGTTCCTAGACAGGAGAGAAGATGATGACAAAAATACAAATTAGGATAGTAAACAGGAAAAAGCAGCAAGCCCTTATCTTTGTCCCTGGATAGTGCTGTCTCCTTTTGAATCCATATTAACTGAACCTATAGGAAGAGTACACAGAGTACATATTACAACTGTGCATTTTCAGGGAAGAGATTGAAAGAAATACAGTCTTGCTGTTCTGCATTGTCAGGTAAAACACACATCTCCTTCAGACCGGGCACAGTTTGCCCCGCTGTTTTCCAGGCCTGAGCGTTTGTGTCAAGGTGAATATATCACATGGCGATAAAATGCTGAATGTGAGACTTTGGTTTAGTCGAGGATTTAACCACTGTGAGCTGACTCGAGGCTGAATGCTTGTCCTAATTGAACTGAGTGCTAACCCTTTGTCAGAAGTTTTTGTAAGTGTCTTAAATAGTGATAGTATAGTAAAGGAATGGTTTATATGGGTATGTGCTTGAATCATAGAAGATTCCTCAGGTGAAAAAGATGATATCAATGAAGATAAAAAGGAAAGATACGCATGTATAGATAGTAATAGTAAATGAGTGTTTTTGAGAGTCAATAGCAAATAAGTAATCTATAATAGCATGTCCTGTAGGACTGAGGCCATGGGGATACATTGTACCAGATTTTTACAGTGTCCTTCTGACAGAGAAAGATAGTTTGCTTTCAGGACTGTTTACAAGTAACTTTAAGAAAGACTGCTAAAACTTCCATTTTTTTCATACTGGTGCGTTGAACTGTGTGTTCCATGGTATCTTGTATCTAAAGGGAAACTTAAGAAATGGAAATTAAAAATCAACTAGTTTGTGCACCCTGCATCCTCTAAGGAAGTCTAAGTGGACTGCTGGTTTGCCAGAGACATTTTTCCATCTTGGACAAATCAGATTACTGCTTTTGTGCTTCATCTGCAAAACAGAGATGGTATTTCTCCACCTGTTAGATACTTGCAAAGCTAAAGCAACAAAAGTTTGTGATTTGCTTTGGGATTCTTGGACGCAAAATTTTCTGGTGCTTTTCTGGTAAGTACTAGGACTTTCTCACATGAATCATGATTTCATATTCTGTCAAAGACTATAAGAAAATTTAGGGCTAGGCAAAGGCAGCTTACTGAAAACAAAACTATATGTTTGACAATCATATCCGTTCTGAAGACTTTCATGTGTTTTATCTTCAGGTTACTAACATCCTGCAGCAAGTCATCGCCTCAACCTAAACGTTTGTGGAAGAAATAAGTGATACGTGAAACTGGATGAAATTAGATTTTACATCTGTTCATTCGGGACTCTGATGAGTGATACACGGGGAGAGGTAGAAGATGGTGAATTTCACAGAGAATGCAACTGAGAAGTGCATTATTAATCATGATATCCACCAGACATTGTCCCCTGTGGTATATATATTTGTATTTATAGTCGGCTTGCCAGCTAACTGCCTGTCACTGTACTACGGGTATTTACAGATCAAGGCTAAAAATGAATTGGGTATCTACCTTTGCAATTTGACTGTAGCAGACCTGCTTTACATATTTTCTTTGCCTTTTTGGCTGCAGTATGTTTTACAGCATGATAATTGGACCTACAATGAGGTCCTGTGCAAAATTTGTGGCATCCTCTTGTATGAGAATATCTATATCAGTGTGGGCTTCCTCTGCTGCATCTCCATTGACCGCTATCTCGCAGTAGTGCACCCTTTTCAGTTTCAACGGTTTCGGACAATGAAGGCTGCTGTGGTTGTGAGTATCATTATCTGGACCAAAGAAATATTGACATGTTGCTTTGTCTTTACTCACGGGGAGATCAGTATGGATGCCGAGAGCCACGTGGTGTGCTTCGAGCATTACCCCATCAAAGAATGGGAACACAATGTCAATTACTACCGCTTCTCAGCTGGTTTCCTTTTCCCCTTCTTTCTGCTGGCCTTTTCTTACTGTGGGATTTTACGAGTTGTCCACAAGAGTCACGGCACTCAAAAGAAGAAGAAAATCCAAATTAAACGACTCGTTTCAAGCACTGTTTTCATTTTTTTAGTTTGCTTTGGACCGTACCATGTCCTACTTGTGGTTCGCAGCTTGTTGGAGAACAACTGCATGTTTGCTGAGAAAATATTTAATATTTACCATGTTTCTCTCCTGTTGACTACTTTTAACTGTGTTGCTGATCCAGTATTGTACTGTTTTTCCAGTGAAAGCACTTACCAGAATTTTGTCAAGATGCGAGACTCTTGTTTAAGATGTTTAGGGTGTCTGAGGACTGAGACAAAGGAATCTTATCCACTAAATGCTCCAGAAACTCCCAACAGGCTACAGCATGAGCAACAACCAGGGTTACTACAAATATCCCATGACAGTACTGAAATGATGGACTCCTCCAGAACTAACATAGGGAGCCTATAGCATTCATCAAAAAAGGACATTAATGACATTAATCTAAAATCTGCAGCTGTAGCTGTGTTTGTGTATCCATCTGATTTATCGGTGTATTACCAGTGTTACCTTCCAAAGGCTTATTAGCAATGCAGTACAGTGAGGGCATTTCTGGAAGTTCTTGGACCTTGGCAATAGTGAGGAAAGCACACACTAAGTGGGTTCAGTTACAGTCACATGTCTGTTGTCATTGTGGTACCACTCGAAACCTGTTGTTGTGATGACTGCATCGACTGGAACAAGCTAGTACTCATGGTGTGTGATTCTGCTGAATTCACCTTCAGCTGCTTTCTGGTTGCCCCTGTAGCATCTAGAGAAAATAATTCTCTACAAGCTGTCATGATCTGTTGAGAAGGTTGGAGACAGAACAAATTAAATGTCCCGATGTGTACTTTTAAAAAGAAAAAAGTTGCATTTCTGTAACATTCCTGTAACTCTCTAAAATAACTTCTCCTTCAGTCAGTTTCGAGGCCCGCAGAGACCGTGCCAGAACCAACCACCTAAAACAACCAACCCAATAATGACAGATGTCCTGGGAGAACATGCACAAGGAACTCAGCATCTGCTGAGACCTTCAGTCTGTTGACTGACTGTTGAATCTCAGAGTGCTGAACCCCACCAGAAGGCTCCTATTGACTTCCAGAGGTATGAGATCTCTTGGCTCCGATGGGGATAAAGAATTTTTTCTGTTGACTTGGTGAAGAACAGGAGGTTGGTAGTACGTGAGCCACTTTGAACCCTCTGAGCTTCTCTGAGTCGCTATGTTCACAGACAAGTTTAGTTACATCTAAATTCTGCTAAACCTTGCTAAGGTTTGGATTGTGTCCTTTGCAATTTGTGTGTCTTGTGCAGCATAGACCATACAAGCAATTACATAACAATGCATTTGTCAGGGAAACTGTTAAATGGACTCTGTTTAAGCTCTGTTTTCTCCCATAGATGCTATAGCTTAGGATTTGGTCATTGTTCAGTAAATACAGTATCAGAAATATGATGTATGGATGATCTATGTGTCCTGGTATAGACAGGAAACAAACTACAGGAATAAGTGGAGATAACAGCAGTTAAAGGTGTGGGAGTTGTGGTCTATAGTATTGTTTCTACCACTATCTCCTCTCTAGGTGGGTGGGGTTTTTTTTGTTATGTTTTTGTTTTTCCTTTATTAAACTAGTGATTCCTGTGTATGATTCTTCTTTGTGATCTGCTCATTATACATTCTTCTATCTGTAACTGTTACACCATGAATATTGCCTTGTTCTTTCACTTCTCTGGTTTCAAACCTTTCTTGAAACACCTTTCTCTCTGCAACCTGGAGCTGATAACTTCCAGCAGTATACCTATCTCTCTTTCTAAACACCAAAAGATTCTCTAGACAGATGGTCTTCTCCTGGTACCTGAAGTATGACATTGTAACACAGCCTTGCTTGTCATCAGTTTCTAAAAGGCAATATATTCTAACAGTTTTCTGGAAACCACCTTGAGGGTACAATATTAGAAATAATTAGGAGATGTGTTTAATAAAGATATGTTTTTATTATTTTCTTCTTATATTTGTTCACACTGTGTTTAAAATAACTATCTTACGGCCTTGGCCCACGGTTTGTATTTGTGAGACTACAGATCCTCTCCTTCCTCCTGTTGCAGAAAGGATTCATGTCGCCACTCCCAGGAGGGAATTAGATTTGCTCAGGTTAACATTTGGTTTGTTTAATTATTTTACATTTCTTTATACTTAGACCAATCACCAAGCTGGATTAATTACCTTATACATGCATTTTTTTCTTCTGACTATTAGTACCATTTAGCTTTACTTTCTCCTCTAATCTCCTGTCTGCACCGACAGGGCTGTAAGGCAGGGGCTCCTGACGACCACAATGCCGTATTCGTATGTCAGTAAGCACCGAGCCAACTACTTGGACTCCCGTGACCTGGCCGGCTGCGAGACACACACGTGGTTTGTTCTAGGATGACATGTTTGTTGTTCTGTTTATGCTTTACTTCTTTACAGTTACCCATGTTGTTTAAATTAGACAGCTGGAATGCAGAACATGCCATACTACATCAAATTGTCATCTGAGGGATTAAGGCTTATTTGAGTTTGTACTTTTATGCGGTCAGCTTTTGGTCAGCTGCTGCAGTTTAAAATCAGATGGAAACTTGAGTAACAGTGTCCGGCATTCTGCTACAGTTCTCAGCATGTAACCTGCTAACCTGCAAGAGAAGGGGGAAATTTTTCTTCTTTTTTATTTTCTTTTTTCCTGAAGTAAGTATTTTATCTATTCTTTTTATATCGTAGCTGTTAGGCTCAGGCTGCAGAACTGTAACCGATATGGGAGGAAGGTAACTCCCACTCAGAGCTTTTCTTTCCATCTCAACCAGAACACAGTCAATCAAGGGTCCTACTATGGTTGCTAGAAATATGCTACACATTGCTATTGGATTAAACATAGTGCTTGGGACTACACAGGGGAAGGGATTTTCAAAACACACATTAGAGAAAAAGACAAGTAAATTATTACATTTTGTATTTCTTAATGAAATCTGACTGTTAAAACTTGTATTTTGGGGGGGAAAAAAAAGAGGAAAAACTTACTAAATGAAGTTTTTTTGACAAAAGTTAGTGTTTGGAAAGAATAATATACATGGCACCTGTTAGTGTAATATGTCAGTAAGTTACTGAGCACATAGCACACAGAGAAGGAAATCAGCTGCCTCTTTTCCCAAACAGACATTTTAAAATTATGCTAATTACATTTTGTGGGTTCTGTGCAGCAGTGACCATATGCCATCCTGCGGGGTTACTGGCTTTGGCAAAAAGCTCAAGCATTCATATTTTGCTTAATAGTTATAGTTCAGAGAGTTTGGAGTCTCCTAAAGGAGTTATTTTCTAACTGTGAAACTTCAAAGATAGTTTCACTGCAACATCCTTCAAGAAGGCTCTAAATAAAATGAATCTAAAAAAATGACCAGTCCATAAAATAAACTTTGGCAGCTTTGGTGAGTCTGAATGTCTAGTAGCAAGTCTGGCATTAAGATTTCTTTCTCTCACCCATGTTCAACTGTTTTAAGTCTTTAAAGGCTGTGTATCCTCAAGAACTTCAGAAGAATAATGTTCAAAGTACGCTGGTGTTTGTGGTATGAACTGATTTTACTTGTTCTCAAAAACTTCTGTGTTTGTCTGACATAAAAGAAGGAAAATAAACTCACCTGCCATAAAGAAAAGTAGACACAAGGTGTGTGCTGCTGCAAGTCCACTATCCTTTGGAAAAAGGCTAAACAGTGGCTAAACAGAACGGCCAGTCTCATCCTGTTAAAAGCACAATGGTTCGACGCTCGCCTTTTGTACCATTATAATAATTTGATGACAGCTAAAGCCTGAGAGGTGCAGTGTCAAATATACCCTGTCCTCTCTGCTGCGAGGGCGGACAACTAGCAGAACTTCAGCTCTGACACTCATCTGGAGTTAAAGACAATCAGAGCTTTAAATGACAAAAGTTAGGCACGATTCACAACCATTTGTCAAGGTACTGGTTCAGCGTTAGTAGGCCTTGGAGATATAATTCAACTTTGTTTCACTCAGTCTTGTCAGGAGCGGAATTTATAACTGTAATTCATCTAAATGTTCATTTACATAATTCTATTTCATACCAAATGCAAATGTTTTTAAATTTCTAAACATGCTTTAATTTCTAAGCATTAATTTTTAATCACTATTTATGTATTTAATTCATTTACTCTTAACAAGAGGACACCCTGAAATGTCTACAACCTTTCTGTATTACCCAGAAAGGGACAAAATATATAAATGGCAAACTATTAATATGAAGGAGGCAAAGGGTGCAGCCTACCCTTTACACAGAACATCTGCAACACTTCCCTTGTTTTCATTAGCTCTGTTAAAGCTCCCCTTATCTCCTCACGCTTCCACAAACTATCCGCCACCACAAGAAGACAGTGTCAGAGGGCCCACAGGAGGTGTGCAGGGGGGCTGTATTTAACAACTTTCACTACTGTAACACTTACTGGGGCTTTTTTGTTTTGAACCTCCCCTCTCTGCTGCAGCTGTTTTCCCCACCACAAAGTATTTTTAAATCCAAGTTCCTACAAGAGTTACTTCCTGTCGCAGTTACGAGGTCAGTAAAACAGGAACAGCAATGTGATAACAATTCATTTTAATGACAAGCTTTCTTTGTAAAAGCCAGATCACCTCTTAGTATATATTATTTAATATCCATTATCCATTAAATTACAGAAAAGAAAGGTAGACCAAATCATCATGATTATATCATCTTCTCACTTCATTGAGATGTTGTATGGGTAACAATGAAAGGTTGTGTATGGCCAAAATACCAGAGATGAAAAGCCATCTTTCTCCAATCTTTTATACATTGAGAGAGCCTAGGGAATAAGGAAATTTATGTGCAGTGTGCGCTTGCAGCCCAGGAAAGCTGGAGAGGGACTTTTTCCCAAGGGTATGTAGTGATAGGACAAGGGGCAATGGATTTAAACTGAAGGAGGGGAGATTTAGATTAGATATAAGGAAGAAATTTTACACTGTGAGGGTGGTGAGGCACTGGAACAGGTTGCCCAGAGAAGTTGTGGCTGCCCCATCCCTGGAAGTGTTCAAGGCCAGGTTGGATGAGGCTTTGAGCAACCTGGTGTAGTGGAGGGTGTCCCTGCCCATGGCAGGGGGGTTGGAACTAGATGATCTCTGAGGTCCTTTCCAACCCTAATTATGATTCTATGATTCTATTTCTATTCAATTCTGTTTAAGATCCCTTCGAACCCGAACTATTCTATGATTCTAAAAAACACAGGAGCAACTCTTGATATAGGAATCATTAGGGGCAGTCACTGCTGCACTTCTTGCAGCAGCTTTTCAATCATCAGCGAATGGGTGTTGTAGAAAGGCAGCGCGTCCACTTCCATTTCTAGGCTGGCAGTTTTTCCACTGCGGACCCCATGCTGCA